GCTAATCTGAACAAATCCACAAGCTCTCGGTTCAAGCGAGAGACCACCCCCCATGTATAAAGCAGAGATGGGTTGAGGAAGACATCGACTTTAGACCTCCACGGGGATGAGCACACATGCACATACACCCAAACACACAGGATGCACCCACACATGCAAGTAAGGAGTTCGTTTGTCCAGGGTATGATCTAGGAAAAGCTGGGCTCCATGTGGCTCTAAAGATCAGTCTGTCATCAGGTTATTCAACCCTAACCTGCACTGCAATATTGATTTGAAAACTTTGGTTTGCAGAAACCAGAACCTGTACTCAAGCCTGTCATTTATTTACCTCGAAGGGCAGGAGGTGGACCACACAGGCCACTCACTGGGTTTCACAATTCTCTGAGGTGCTCTGGGAAGACAAGCTCATTTCAAGGACTCACTGCTGACACGGTCAAGGGCTTTGTAAGGAATTCTAACAGACTGAAGTAGTTACTACATAATGGATTCTGGAGGAACAGTTTCCAGCGCACTTCTCCACGCACGCCATTTGCTATTAGACCCTAAGGAAAACTTCTGGTTATGGCTTAGCTCCAGCTTCCCAGCCTCCATTCCCGTCCTTTGCCTGGTGGATGCAATATTGTTTTGTCGTGTGTGTGTGTGTGTGTGTGTGTGTGTGTGTGTGTGTGTGTACGACAGAGACAGACACCAGGTGAAGGCAAGTGAAAGGTGTCGTGTGTGAAAACTGGGTCCCAGGAGGGAGGCGTCGTCACTCTTGAATCCCACTTTCAGGATCTGCCAAGGTTGGGGCCATAGGAATGAAAAGAACCTTGGATTTCAGGAAATTGCCTTTTGGGAAGCTGGAGGGACAAGACAGGTGGTTCCCAGGAGTGCAAGATACAGGCCTCCCTCACTTCAGGTGCAGCTGCTAGGTCTCATTCCAGACTTCCTGAAATCCCGACTGGCTTGAAGTCCAGAGAGACAGAGAGACAGAGGCTCAGAGGCTGGAGAGACTTGCATTAAGGAAGGAGAAGCACTTACTTCTCCAGAAATCCTCACTTGGTTCCCAGGGGTGGGGGCTGTAAATCCTGGCTTTCAATGCTACTCTTTGTCTTTGGGTTTTGAACATTTGGAAAACTGCTTCAAGCAATAACATAAGATGTGTCAGGTGGTGTGCCCAGCTTTGGAGAAGTTGGAACGATCTGCCTGTTTACCCATACAACACCCAGGATGGAACTAGGGTTTCCTGAGTTCCCTAACCTGCAGAAAGCAGGCTTTGTCTGTCCTCGCCTCTGGCCTCCAGGGACCAACTGCTAAATCCTTCCTTCCATTTTCTTTGATCTTGCCAGACGAGGCACATTTTGTTTCTTTATATCCCAAATGCTCAAATTGTGTTGTAGAAACCAACTCCCTATCAATTTTTTTCCAATTTGATCCCTCGCTTCTCAGCAAATTTTCATTTTCCTTCATTGGTTCCCATGGTAACAAGTCTGTTGTCTGAGAAAAGCCTGACTCTGCTTTTAGCTTTCTGCACAATGCAAAAATCCTTCTTAGGCAAGCGCTGCAGGCAGGTAGGAAGATACAGGACTCTGCTTGCTAATGCCAAGATTTTCTTGCCTCTTGGCATCCATTTCCCATCCCATCCCAAAGAGAGGCTCAGAGGGTTCAGAGACAAGCAAGTACTCAGAGACCTTCCTATCCAGCCCTTCCACAGCTGCAAGGGCTCCCTGTGGCTTTTTGTCTCCAGGTGTCAATGACATAAATGCATAATTAACATCCACTGTCAGGGCAGCATGGAAAAGCCACGTTCATTAGTTTCCCTATCAGATACCCTCAGTACAAGTGGATGTAGCGAGGAAACCTGGCCTTGACTTAGGGTCTAATGGCAAGACAGTGGGGTGCTCTAGATTTCCTCCCCAGGAATCCGCTCAGGAAGAAGTCAAGGATTTCCCAGGAGCACTGAGCTCCCGAGAAGCAGACTCAGGGTGAAAGGACACAGTGGTGGCAGCTGCCTGCACACAAGGGAACTTCAGGTGGACAGTTCAGTGCCCACATGTGACCACGCCTACAGTCTCAGCAATGGGAGGCTCAGGCCAGAGGCCCCAGGTGTGAGGCCAGGCTGGGTTACACAGAGATCTTAAGGACCAAGGACTGGGGATGCTCATCAGTGCCGAGTACTACTCTACTAGTCTACTATGTGCAAGGCCCTGGGTTTAATTCCTAGCACCTAAAAGTCAGAACTCTATTGAGAGCTAAGGATATAGAGTGGATAGAGAGCAGGGGTCTGCAGAAAGCCAACATCACGATTCTAACCGTGTTTGTGGTGAACGTCAGGGTTCCTCGGAAGCTCAGCGTCGGCAACCTGTCCTTTCTGTGAACAGCAGGGCTATTAGTCAGAAAGGAATGAAGCAGGGTTTACCTCCATGTGTGATTTTTTTTTTTTTTTTTTAAGAAAAAGATTCAGGGGATGAAAATGTTTTAAAAAATAAAATGTGGTTATTTCAACTATAGTTAAGGAAAGTGATCAAATGCAAATGACCCTGTTTTATTGAGTCATAAAATGTGATACTTAAGCACTAAGTTTTAAAGTTAGCTGCTTATATTGTATAAAGGTATTTTTGGCTGTTCAAAGATTATTTTCCTACATTAAGAAATTTTCTTGTATTAAAGACTTATTGTGACTCAGGTTTTGTGTCTCTGTAGACACACAAGTTTTTTCTTTGCTGTTTTTTTGTTTGTTTGTTTTTGCACAGTTCAAGTCCGAGATTGAATGCCAGGGATGCAGGTCAGCTGGCCTGCCTGAGGGTAAGGGTACCGGGTAGCAGATGACAGATGTACAAACAGCATTGCTCTTCCTAGCTCTCCAAGCCTCACACCTCCCGTGCCCCTACTAGGGAATATTCAGTCAGGAAACCTTACGTGATTATTTTTAAGTCTCTGGAAAAACCAAGACAAATCTCTCAGGCAGACAGAATTATAAAGAAATTCCCATATTTATCAGACTGTATTGTTGAAATGAGTATTGTTTTCAAGACTTGTCTTTCCACTCTGAGGACACTCACTGGTTTGAGGAAGAGAAAGCATGTGGTTTAGATCAAGGTTGTAGGAAACTTCGCCGTAGCTCTGATGAGTGTCGATGGAATGCAATAAACGTTTCATGTGTCTGCTCCGTGAACTAGGCATCTCCTGTATGATTTCCTCCTTCAAAGTACAAGCCTTACTGTGTTTCTCTGGAATAAAGAAAAAGGCTTTATAAACCTTTTAATTCTGTCCTCTGCACAGAAGGGGCTGAAGGAGGCTTAAGACGTGCCTTGTCTACACAGAGGACACTGTCCTGGGTTTAGAAAGCCAGAGGCAGTAGATCTACTGAAATCTGTTGAACTTCAAAGACTGTTACAAATAACCTTGGAAAGGTTAGGACACTGCAAGGTTACTACAAGTTATTTCAAGTACCAGAGTTTTTCTCACTTGGAACCGACCAGGACCTCCCTGTACTCAGCTGTATATGATATGAACTGTGGTTTCCTTTTCAGAGAAATAATAGACTACCAGAAGAGATTCTACTGGGGACAGTGATGGGTTTTCAATAGGTTTAAGAATTATAGCATACTATGTAAGTATCCATATTTTTTCATTTTCTAAACCATCTGATGATCAATTACTTTTGCCCTTAGTAATCTGAGGAACAATCTTTTTCATTAGTCTCTAAGTTCTAACTTTTGACATGTCAAACACGCTCAGACTTTCTGCTTGAGGTCTTACTAGCCAGAGAAACATTTCAGTCGTAAGCCTGGGAGGAGTCCTGAGCAGCTGGGCAGCCTTGGGTCTCTCGGAGTAAGGTCACCCCGGGAGCCATGCTCTCGGATGAAATCTGGCTTCACTATCCTTGGTGAGGCACACTGTAACATCTGAGAAAGCAGAGCTTCTCCAGCCAGACAGCTTGAGCAAGGGAACTCAAAGAAATCTGGTTCTAGCCGGCCATGAGCGAGGGCGGCACAGGGCTCCTTTCCAATCTTCTGCCCTTTGTGGACATGTTACTCTGCGCTGGTAAACACAACTCCACACACTGTAATTAATGCGTGCACTTCACTGCAGTCTATGGTCCCTTGTAAAGCTTTTCTGAAGACCCACAGGCCACAGCAGTTTAGCAAACGAGGCTCAACCTTTACAACCTGGGGCCTTTTCTGTCTCTTTGCTAACCCCAGGTGGCTGTAGACAACTTGGGTGGGAGGGGCGGGAAACACCAAAACATTTCAATTTTCTACTTGGGTGTACTCCAGTCAATTCAAAAACTGCTTACTTTAATAATGTTTTATCGTTTTATAAAAAAGAATCAAACCATGATATGTTTAATTGAAATGGCTGTACTGTAATATTTTGAGATAATTGTGATTTTGAGCTTAAAATTATATATATAAAATTGTAATTTTTGTATGTGTTTAAAAAAACTATGTATCATGATGAACAGTACTTTTTAGTTGAACTACACACTGATGTAAATAAAACTGAATGAAGACACACTGACTGCTTTAACACAGATTGTGAATGTACCCACCGGTCTTTTTTGCTGTACGAGACTAGCAAGCTTGGAGGCAGCTTCACCGCACGTGCAGAAACGCCTACAGACCTACATTTTAACTTGACTCAACCAGCAGACTAATCACTTTGCTGATGACTGCAAATCTGAGCTGTGCTCTCCAGTGGATCTGCGTCCAACACCACAGGTGAAGGTGCCCGGTGTGGTCTGGAGGCATCTGAACGTGCATCTGTCCAGACAAACCCAGGGCCTGCCCAGCGCTGTGTGGTGTACAGCAGAGCCATTTCAGGGTTAGCTACTCAACCTTTTCAGTATTTAAAAAAGTGTTTTGAATAACATAAAAGTCTCTTTATTGTACAAATAATAAAATGTCACCTTATTGTACAGTGTGTTTTGTTTACTATGTAAGCAGACTTCCTGGACTTGGAGGTATGACACAGGAAAAGCAGGTTTCTTTTAAAGCAGAACAAGCATTGTAGCAATCTCGTAGGATGTAACTTTTATTATGAACATGGAATATGCAGCTTATTAGCAAGGTGTCCTAAGACAGTCATGCATCACCCTGTAAGTTCTTTACCTCCACACCCATGCCAACACGCACGCACACACACACACACACACACACACACACACACACACACACACAATTGAACTGGCTGTTTGACATAATCATGTGAGCCAGACAGCTCATAAGTTTGCTTTTGATCATCTCATTGTAAACAAAAAATGTTTATATTTGGTTTTTATTAAATCAAGTTATAAAGTTTTGTCTTTTAAATGCCGAAGAGTAGTATTCAATAAAGGTCATTCATTTTATATCTAACAGAAAAGCAGAATTGAGTTGCCAGGTGTGGTGGTGCACGCCTTTAGTCCCAGCACTCAGGAGGCAGAGGCAACAGTTCAAGGCCAGCATGGTCTACAGAGTGAGTTCCAGGCCAGCTGGGGCTACACAGTGAGAGCCTGTCTCCAAAAAATAAAGCGCTAGAACCGGACAGTCAAGCTCAGGTCCCGTTATACGGAGAAGGAAAAGAAAAACAAAGCCCAGTTCTACAAAGGCGCTCGCTTTATGATTATGAAAACATTAAATCACATTAAGGAAAAAGTACTTGGTACTTGCAATGTTGTAAGAGAATGAATTTGAAAAACATTAAGAACTGGAATACTGCATGACCACACGCAGTCAACACCATACATGTACACAACACTTCACAACTCAGCAAACATTCCGTGGCAGTGGAGGTGGGAAGGTGGGCAGCCAGAGGCCTCCTGCTGACACAGGATGCACAGCATGGTGTCACCCTAGGCTGGCTCTGCCCTCCCCAAAGAGAAGCCAGCTCCAAATCAGGCTGGAATCCGGTCTCTCAGATACTCCAGCACAGCAGCTGTGCCTTTCATTAATATGGCTGCTCGGGGAACGCGGAATGGATTTCCATCTAGGAGTAGTGTTCTAAATGAAAGAGAAACAGAGAAATAAACATTTCCCATTAGTGATTCTTTCTTAATGAAATAAACTGTTATTTGCAATTTTATAAATAAAAATGTGTATTTTCTTATTTGTCTCTTAAAGCAAATCAACACACCAAGCAGCTGTTACAAAAAAGTACTGCTTTATGGGCTCCACATTCACCTGTGATGCAGGTACCAACCCCACTCATCTTACAGGTGGGGAAGCATCTGGAGAAGCCAGACAGACTTGTATGAGAAGCTGCTACTACATGGTGGAGATCTGACTTGAGTCCCATTGGGCCTCTTCTCCATCTTACAACAAGCATGCACAATAAAAATCAAAGAGATTTAGACAAGTGAATGAACAAAGTGACAGGATTCATGCCCGCATGTGTGTGAGTGCACCCATGTCATGCAATGCCCACAGAGATCAAAAGAGGGTGTCAGATCCCCTGGAACTAGAGTTACAGACAGTTCTTAGCTGCCATGTGGGTGCTGGGAATTGAACCTGGGTCCTCCACAAGAGCAGTCAGTGCTCTTAACTGCTGAGCCATCTCTCTGGCCCACTCTTGTTTATTTATGGAATTAAAAAAAATACCCTCATTCAGAAAAGACTTTAACAGCTTACGTCTTTATGTCAACAAAAATCAAAAGGTTCCCACAGTATTTTAAGGTTGATCTATATGACTCCAAATATTTCCTTATTTCTTGGGAATTCTTTTAAAAAATTACTTTGTTAACTTCTAGAAAAAGAGTTACAGGTGAACCTCACTGTGTGTGGTATTCTGTACTTGCAAATCTGCCCGTTCCATATTTGTCTGGAACCTCCAATTAGTGCGTACGGTGCTTCAGGTTTATTGACAGACATTCCCAGAGCAGGAGGAAAATGGAGTCGCTCACGGGCTCAGCCTCAGAGAGGCCTGACAGGTGCTGTGCAGTCACACTACAGACAAGTGACCTTCCTGCTCTCCTCACTGTCACCGTTCTTAAATGGTTTTTTATGATTTTCACTGTTCAAAAGTGTTCCATACATCCAGGTATGGTAGAACACACCAATAATTCAGGATTTGGGAGGCTAAGGTAGGTACATCTGCAGTTAGAGTCTAGCCCAACCTATATGGTAAGACCCTGTGTCAAAAACTAAACTAAATATGACAAAATAAACAAATAAAATAGGGCCCAAGTGCGGGGTTAAAGGGCTGGTCAGTTTTCAACGGCACAAATATATGTCTATGGAAAAATTAAGTTTCTTTCAGGCATAAATTACAGTGCTGTGAGCCATGAACTCGGTGTTCGTAACACCTTGAATAAACAGGGGTCTCTATACAGAGACACACAAAAGGTTACACACTGACAGGGTGATAACCCTGAGCCCTGCACTTTCACTCTAGGAAAGTATTCAGTAGTTCAGTTTAAATCTCAGCAAACCCCGAGAACCCACAGGATCTGAACATTACAACGCACCGCCTTGAAGGTCAGAGCCGCCCAGGGAGAACCACCAGCCAATGCAGTATGCCGCTCTCGACAGTAAAAGGCTCGGCACATTCTGCTTAAGTAGTTGGCTTTCAGTTAACACCTCAAACCCCTGCTCTATCACTTAGGCAGGATGTGAAGCTTTAGTACACCTCATTTCTGACAAAAAACGCAAAAGGTCGGGTGCAGAGAAGCCCCAAAGCAAGCAGGACAGGGCTGATTCTGGGTGGAGAGCCAAGGGGCTGCCAAGGGGCATGGGTCACTCACCGAGGAAGACCGGGCAGAGGCTAAGGAAGCAGCAGAGGACAGAAAGCCCGCCCAGAGGGCGGAAGTCTGTGACTCACCCCAGAGCCCTCCATGCAAAGCTAAGGAGGCTCCCAGAGTCCCGAACACATACACAACATTATATAAAGCGAAAAAATTGGTAAACTCTGAAAAGTAGAATTATGAGTTTGGCTTACTGCTGACAAGACATTAAATCTGTTATTTCAATTTCCTGCAAGACTGTATCACAAGGGAAAAAAGCAATCAACCAATCAACTGGAAAAAGTTTGGCAGAAGGTGGAGTTACCTCAGATGCACACAGTTCCCAAGCTCCGGGGGGATGTGCAGGAGGTCATTGTTCTGCAGGTCCAGGGTGCTCAGTTTCTCCATCAGCTGCATCTTCTGAGGGTCCACAGAGCCCACCTGGTTGTTACTAATCAGAATTGTCTCCAGAGAGGGGATCTGATACAGAACTTCAGGCAGCACTTTGAACCTATTAAGTATGAACAGGACACCGACATGCACTGGAAGAGGCCAATCACCTCAAACTCTATGACGTTAACTCTGCGTCACGAGACTGTTTTCTTTAGTTTGTTATTTATACTTACATCATCGCCTAAGCTGTTACTATTTGTTTTATATTTGGTTTAAGTCCTTTTTCAGATTTTCCAGAAAGTAAGAAACTAATATTAGAAACTGAAATACATGTTTGGAAGACTTCAGATTGTGAAAAAGAAATCAAACACAACTCAGAAGGAATCCTCCTGTGCTCTATGCTCACATCCGGGGATAAGGAAACGCCCTGAGGTTAGCTGCACGATGTCCTCCTGGACACATGCCTCCTCACCTGTTTTGGCTGAGGTTTCCAAAACAAGTGCACTTTGGGACTTTCAAAGACAGTGGCTAGCACAGAGCTGGCTTCCTTGTCCACACAGACAGGGAGGCTCAAGGCCAACATTTCAGGAGCCTCGGTTTCAATGACACCTCTCCGACCTCAGGATCTGATACTAGCTGTGCTTCCACTACAGCAATTCGATGGGCTATTTGTACATTTATCTTCCTACTAGAAAACCAGTTTCTTAAAGTGGTTCAGGGAAATCAACTAAGCATCAATCATGAGAATTCTAAGCAAGGAGAACAGAATGAGAATCAAATGTGACAGTGAGACACAGTACAAATGAGGTCCTGTTTATCTGGCTTTTAGCTGCCCCTCGCCGGTCCCTTACCTGTTAAAGGACAGATTGATCGTCTGTAGTTTTGCCAGTGATGCCACTTCTTCAGGCAAAGAACTTAAAAGATTATTCCTGAATTGAAACCAAAATACGTGGTTTTCAAAGTTTGAAAACTTTTTTACAAATTTAATTTTATTAAAAATTGTAATAAAAATGTTCAGGAGGGAAAAAAAAATACATAGGTCAAGCTGTCAGTTCTTAATCTGATCCCACCTGGCTGAATGAGAATTACGGCTCGGTCAGTATGGTTTGTGAGCCACAAGAGTTGCTTTCTCTGGTTTTAGAAGTGGAAGTTGCTGTCAGAGCCATGCTCCCCAGCGCACCCTGCAACCCTTCCTCTCTGCACACTACTCCTGTGACTGTCTGCATGGAGCTGGGCTACAGGGCCCACAGCCTTCCTGTGACCAGACAGGGAAGCTAAATCGTACTCATCCATCAGAAACTTCAGGCACAGCTGTAGACAGAGACCTGCTTAAAAAGCTTGGGACAAAAAGCGGCAAAGGCAGCCGCTGTGGGGACGTGGAGCCTTCCCTCAGCCCCATCAGCACTAACTTAAGTTTGGCTTTAGAACTCTGTCACCCCAGAGTAGAAGCAACTCCACACCCAGTGGGGCAGAATCCTCCCGCCTCAATTATGCGTCACGTCAACTGGAACTGCTCCTCCTAAACACAGGAAAGCAGGGGAAGGCACGGGCAACAGAGGCAGGGCTGACAGACAGCGGACACTATCACCACCGAAGCTGTCCTCTTCTGACCACAACCAACTGCCCAAGAGCCTGAAGCACCGTGTTTGTTTTTGTTTGGGTTTTTGCTTGTTTATTTGGTTTTGGTTTTTTGAGACAGGGTTGCCCACTAGCCTCAACTAGCCTGGAACTTCTGTAGCCCAGGCTGTCCTCAGACTCACAGAGATCCAACTGCCTCTGTGTCTGGAACCCTGGGGTCTATCTTATCTCTATGCTGTCAGGCAGGCTGCTTCTGCTACACTCCCAAGGAGCCTTGCTCACCACAGCAGCTGGCCTACTTCTACACTATTTCCTTTCTAGAGAAAGAAACAAACAAAGGTAAGGAAATGCTTTCCACCTATTCACTGTATTTTACTCAGGCACGAATTTTTTAAATGCACTAATCAAAAAAAATTTAGATAATCTTGTCTTACCTCTTGAATTATAAACTACTTACAATGATAGGCTGATTAAAATACTAATTATTAAAATAATTTTAGATTTCCCCTAAGATAAAGTTAATAAAGACCAGTTTCCATATTCATTAATAAAAACATGACATAAAAGACAAGTCAAGCAAAACTCAAAGTTGAAGTGTAACTTTTAAAACATCAAATAACAGTACCTTATGTCTAAAAATGTCAACTTTTGAAGCACACAGAACTCCTGGGATATAAAGGCAAGCTTGTTAAAACTGAGACTGACCTCAGACACCATCTCCTTCAGTTCTACAACCCTGAAACAAAAGGAATTTTAAAGCATCAGCACTGAATTTACTGTTGGAACGTCACAGCTGTCACAGATCACAAAGTCCTGTGTCACTGCTGCTGTTCAGGATTTTAGGCTCTTGCTTCACAGAAATTTCAGAGATTGGATGTATAACAAAACTAAAAAGAATAGCTTTATACTGGCGTGATGGTGCACGCCTTTAATCCCAGCACTTGGGAAGCAGAGGCAGGCAGATCTCTGTGAGTTAGAGGCCTGCCTGGTCTACCGTCTACATAGCAAGTTCCAGGCCAGCTGGGGCCAAAAGGAAACCCTGTCTCAAAAAGACCAAAAAATAAAAAGATAAATAAAAAGAATAGCCTTACTATTATCCGTCTAAGAGTTTCTATTTGATGTTAAGTGGAAACTAAAATTTAATTAAAATATCTGCCAGGTGAGGTAGCTCATGCCTTTTATCTCAGTACTTGGAAGGCAGAGGCACAAGGATCTCTGTGCGATGGAGGCCAGGCTAGTCTAACATGGTGAGTTCCAGGACAGCCAGGGCTACAGGGAGACCCTGTGTCAAAGAAAAAGAAAAGGAAGGGAGAGGAGGGGAGGGGAG